AAAAAAAAATCAGATCTGTTCAGCTTGGCAAAAACTCAGCCCAAGCCGTTTTTAGGGGTGGGGGGAAAGACTTGAGATTTATTTCTCTCTCAAAACTGCTCTTTAAATTAAAAAAACAACAACCCAGATCTGTTCAGCTTGGCAAAAGTCAGTCCAAGCCAGTCCAGAGGAAAAAAAGAAAAGAAAACTTGAAATTCAGTTCCCTCTCAAAACTTAAAAAACTCAAAACTTTAACTTAAAAAAAAAATCAGGTCTGTTCAGCTTGGCAAAAGTCCATCCAAGCTAGTCCAAAGGAAAAAAAGAAAACTTGAAATTCAGTTTTCTCTCAAAACTGCTCTTTAACTTTAAAAAAAAAAATCAGATCTGTTCATCATGGCAAAAGTCAACCCAAGCTCTTTTTGGAGGAACGGGGGACATAACTGACATTCACTTTTCTCTCAAAAGTGCTCTTTAAATTTAAAAAAAAAATCAGATCTGTTCAGCTTGGCAAAAACTCAGCCCAAGCCATTGGGGGGGGGGGGGGGGAGGAGAGACACATGACTGAGATTCATTTCTGCCTCAAAACTTGTAAGTTGCAGTTGAGTTAAGTAAGAGGTAGAGGTGAAAAACAACATCCACTCTTTCTCTGGAAAAAAACAAATATTTTGGTACTCAAGACATGTTTAAATTTAAATGCAATCTCAAACAATGCATAGACTACTTTTTTAAATAGAGGATAAAAGAAAAGGGAACAATGAAATTATACCACACTCACTATATGGCTTGTGGATCTGGGGTGGCAAATTGTTGAATCCTGTGACATCGCTCCCAGTACTTAAGGCTCAACACTACTGTATTGCAATCTATTAGCTGCAGATGTATAACCTACAGCATTCAAACTAATGGACAGAATGCAAAATTAAAAGAAAACACAGAAGTGTTAGTAATTAACAGGGATAGGGAAGAAAGTAATCCTAGATCACATCCAGAAAAAAAAAAAAAAAGCTTGGAAAAAATGTTCCTCTTGAATGGCTGTCAGCCTTCTCCCCACTAATAATCTGCCATTAAAAAACAAAACACGATCTGACTAAAATATCCAAAACATATCCAGGCTGATTATGGAAAATTGCTTTTTCTCACACAACTGAACTTGTTTAATATGGAGAGACGGTCTCAGAAGCAGCAGAAACCACCAGAACATATGGAAGGTGGCTTGAGAAGAGCTTCTTGTTCGCAGTTGGTACAATGGGTAGCTATCCCTTAAGGAACCAAGTGATCTTGAGTTTGCATTGCAAGTGCTTTCTTGTGCCAGTGGCCGGTGGGAGGGAGGGAAGGGGAGGTCTCTTTCAGGAAACATCACTTGTTACCACTAATTTCACTTCACTAAACTTTTAAGGGTGAGGGAGGGCATCGTGATGCTGGCAGGTGAAAACAGACACTAAACAGTAAAAGAAAAGGAAAACAAATGGAAAGTATCTGTTCACCAGAGAACTAATTCCAGGGTCAACCAACCAGCTTCGTTCTCCTTTCTGAGGAGTGTACATCTACACCTCATGGAGGGAGTGGCAGGTTTGCCCTCCTCATCAGACCACAGCACTGGATAATGTGTATGTGAGACAAAGAAATGTGGAAAGAAGGTGGGGGAGAAGGAGGGAAAGAAAGAAAACAGTTTCTAAACTCCTTAAATTCACTAAAAACTGTGAAAATTCCCGGCAGGATGTTTGAATATCAAACACAGATTTCAGAAACTTTTAATGCCAAGAGTTAATTTGGTGGATTTTTTTTTCTTCTTGCTCCCTTTTCCTGTCCCTCTCTTATCTGTGGGCTGGCCGCTGAACTGTGGTGGTAGCCCCCGAATTCCAGCTCTTGAAGCAAGCAAGGGAAGGTGAGAGGGAGGCAGTGTCTGGTTCTCGGGAGGGCTTGCTGCCTGATGTGCGCCTCGTGCAACGCGATGACCGATCCTGTGGCTCTGTCTGTTCCTCACACTCCATCTTGGGATTGTAGGTCAGTGGGAAAGTGCGCCGTTCCCAGGGCTGTACAGTCTGGGGAAAAAAGGCAGAGCGGTTGGTAGGCTTCATCGCCTCTGAGTCCTATTGTACCTTATCTGGAAACCCTTGGAATGAAAGACACTGAGCAGCTATTGCAATGAAGCCCACTGCTGCTGAATGTGAACACTCAGTGCTAAGACAAGGCGCAATCTGGAAACCAGAAATATTCTTTCGGGATAGAACTGCAACTAAAAGCAATTTTCAGTCTGTATGCAGCTGGGGCAGCAGGGAGCCAAGAAATAACTAAACCAAGAATACTTTTAATCTTTGTAGATTAAGAAAAAAACCAAGGGGGTAATCCTCACCTACAAGGCCAACAGAGTCATAGATTAATTAGCTCATTAAATGCCAGAAGGGATTCATTCACTCACCAGCTCATCAAGGCCTGAGTCAGGTGTGGAACAACGTGTGTCCTCTGTTGGCAGATGTCGCGTGGAGTCTCGAGACAAAGGAGTATGAGGACCAGACAACAGATCAGGACTGATGGGGCTGCGTGGAGAGTGTAGATGGGAGAAATCAGAATGTAGACAGCAGTTTCCAACATCAGGTGAGGCTGGCTGTGGAGTAGATGGGTTCCCCAACTGTGGGGTTGTCCGTCCATCTGTAGACCTGTATGACCTGAAGTTAAAATAAGTACTAATATATAAGGATGGCAATTATTAATTGGTACAATCTTTCTTCAATATCCTACTTCTCCCATCTTAATCCAGACAAATCATAAGTGAAGCATAGAAGCAGTAAATGACATTAGGAAAGTGAACAGTTGCTTGCCAATGAAAAGTTCCCTTTTTTAAAGAATCCTGACATGGTCTTTATCATTTCCCTCCTCCTCTCCTGGATACATCCCTGCCCACAATGGTCATCCTCCCTTCATATAAGGTATCCTCCTTTCAGAAAAGACTTATTACTCTTTTTTACACTTAAAACTCTCTCAAAAGATCTCTCTTATGTCCTCACTGCCTTCTGAATATCTATCCTTCATCCAAAAGCTTTTGACACGAACTCTATTTGCTATTTCAAGAACTTGATTACAGTGGTGCTTAAAGTTTATGAACCTTTTCAAGTTCAGTATGTCTATATAAATATGACCTAGAATCTGACTTGTTCTCCAAAGGTTCTAAAACTAGGTAAAGAGAACCCAATTAAATGAATCAGACATTTTATGAAAATGATCCAAAGCTACATACGCAAATAACTGGTCTGTCTTTCTTGGGCAGCAGTAACTGCCACTAAATGTTTCCATTAACTATTGATCAATCTGCAATTGGCCTGAAGAAATTTTATCCATTCCTCCTTACAGAACAGCTTCAACTCAGGGATGTTGGTGGGCTTCCTCACATGAATTGCCGGCTTCAAGTTCTTCAACTACACGTCTATAGGATTATGATCAGGATTCAAACAATTCCAAAACTTTCTTCTGTTCCAGCCATTCTTTGGTCATGCAACCTGTGTGTTTTTGGACGTCTTCCTACTGCATGATGAGCTTTAGTGCACAGATGTTAGGCCTGATGTTTTTCTATAAAATTTGCTGGTTTAATTCATAATAGTTCTATCAACAATGGCAAACTGTCCTGATCCAGAAATAGCAAAGCAAACCCAAACCATGTCCTGCCATGTTTCAAAGATGGGAAAGATTTTCAATAGAAGACAAATCCTACTAAACATTTAACCCTTTTTATTCTAGTCAAAAGAAATGTAATTTTGGTTTCATCTATCCACAGAACATTCTTCTAATAGCCTCTAGGCTCATCCAGATAGCATTTCGTGAGCTACACATGAACTTCTTTTTTCTTTTAAGTACTACTGCCCTTTCAACCCTGCCATGCACACCTATTATCCAGTGTTCTCCTAAGAATGGTCTCATGAATACTGTCATTTGCCTATAAAAGATTGGCCTTTAGTTTCTTAGACATTACTCTGGGGTAATGTTTTATTGTGGTCTTGGTTGACCGATCTCTCATGTGGAAAATAACAACAGTATACAAATGGAGGCAATTCAACACCATCTACCTGACTGGTGAAGTCCAAACTCTTTCAAAATACTATGAAAAACACTTCCAACCTAGTGAGCATCAACAACTGTTTTTCAGAAGTCCTTAGAAATCTCTCTTTTTGAGCCATGACACAATAACATATCTGTTGAGAAAATCAGACTTGGATAATGAATACCCATAACTGTGCTTCTTAAATAAAGCAGGATCTCTCCGACCCGATTGTCACCTCATTGATTGAAATAAAAAGATAAAGGAATCCTCGTGGATTTTACTCCGCTAGTCATTGCCAATTTAGAGGGAGGGGCTCATCTCCAAGCCAGCACTACCAGAAGACATTTCTGTGATCATGTGGTCAGCATTAAGTCACAGAGTGCAGTTACCTTCCCACCGAAGTGGTACCTATTTATCTACTCGCATTTTTCTGCATTTAAGTCACTAGTTGGCAGGAGCTGGGGTGAGGACGGGAGCTCATCCTGTCACATGATGCTTGGGTCTCGAACCTGGGCTGCAGCTTTTCCAGCCTAGAAGCCCAACATCACAACCACTGAGAATGCATCTTGTTTTAGACTGTATCTATGCAGAAATATTGAAAATTCAAAAGGCATAAACTGTTAAAAACACCTTCACACATGAAATAAAAGTAGCTGAGGTCTTTTCTCTATCCCAATTTCCACCCCCCCAGCCCACCTCCACCCTGTTTCTACTTTCTCTGAAGTTCAGGCTCTAAACTTCTTGGAACAGAAATCAATCTGTTATACTTTATAGCAGATGTGATTCTCAAGTCATGTAAGACTGTAAAACCTCTGAACTCTTCCTGGAAAATAATGCCCCAAGTATCAGTAGCACTCTTACGAATGCAGATCAACTTCATTTACTGAAGGATATATTCTCTCTAGTGCAAACAAGTTTAGTCCCAAGAAATGCTTTTCTGACAACCCCCCCCCCCCCAAAAAAAATTCATGCCCACATGAGCTTTGTATCTCAATAGGGGTACGGTATTTGCTGCAATGCTGCTGAAAAGTTAACAGCAGGCGCTTATAACTGAAGCATTTAGGTTGCTTAGCACTCTGCTCTGAAGCAGCAGCCAGTCTTACCTGCTACCTCGTCGTTGTGGTGGCAAACTTGTGCTCCACAGCCACCTAGCTCGCTCCATTTCCTCACATTTAGCATGGAGAGTGGCAAAGGTTGCATCAGACATATCCTCTATCTGAAAAAGCCATGAAGGAAAGTTAGAATTGGAATAGGACTGCAATAGCTTTGCAAAATGTGTCTTATTGAAGCACTCCACAAAGGGGACAGGCAGCTCTCCAAGAATAATAGTTATTTTTTCATCACAGGCCTACCTTATGCACTTCTTAAAATAGGTAACTGAAAGATTCCAAATTACCCAGTTACCCACCTCTACATTTAAGGAACTTGAAAGGCATAATTTATCCAAGCCATAAAGCAAACCTCTTCTTTTCTGAGGGATTAATGAAGCACAGTGCAGAAAGACTCCTAGCCATATCCTGTGTCTGCTGATAGATGGTCCTTGACATATGAGCACTATAAAGCCCACAATATGGGTAGTAAATCATTGCAGTCATTAAGTGAGACACCCCTGTGACTGCCTTGCTCAACAACCACAATCCCAGCTTCCCCCATTACAGTTGTTAAAGCTACTTGCATCAGGGATGGGGAAGCCTTGGGAGGGCCAGTGCCCACTGGTGAATGGAAATTTGAGATCTGCTGGGAGGTCCTAGCTAACAAGACCTGCCGGTATACAAGTCTTTCCCCACCCACCACCCACCCCCTACTACTCATGGCTCTACTTATCTTTCCAATTTATGCCGCCGCTGACAAGCCCGCCCAGTCAACAACTACTACAGGAAATTATCTAATATGATGTTTCAAAAGAGCTCCAGAACACTGCCAGATGTTCACCAACCCTAGCAATGATTTGAGGCTCTTTCTATCTTTGGCTAGCTTTCTACAGTAACTGTGCCTCACTTTGATTAGGAATGCATGTCAGTAGCTGCATGGAAAGGGAAAGTAAACAGTTGGGTAGGGAGAAGGCCCAAGCCTTCTGGGTGTGGTGAAGCCGGGAGAAAGCTGATGAATCATTGGGCCTAACTAGAAAATGCCTCCTGGTCTCTGATAAAAAGTATTTGCAGAGCTCCTATGGTTATTCAGGACAGACGTGCTGTAAAGCACCCCAATTTTTATTGAGACTGCAGGGATGCTCTAGCACTGGAAACTTTGTGAGGGGGTGATGTGTCTTTTTATTCAGCACCATCAAGCATTTGGAAAGTTGCTGAACGAAGTCATTAGGTCAAAGATTCTCTATATTTCACAGATGAATTTGCAATCCTGCTTTTACCTGGCAACGACAAAACATTTTTTCAGGGCTGTGTAATGCTTTGGAATCAACCCAACAGGAATGTTTTGCATAGTGCAGAGACATGTGCCTGCAAATTCCTCTAAGCAATTTTGTGGTCATAGAAAAAGACAATGCTGCTTTAAAGAAGTGGAAATAGGAGCTACACTTGTGCTCCTATATACTCTGAAGCATGTTTTTGTCTTAAGGAAGTATTTCAGTGTATATCCTCCATGAATAACTATATCAAGTTTCTTCTACAAATATACTCTTTTGAGGTAGGATAGATTAACCAAATTCAGATAGATTTTAGACTTCAATTCTCTACTAACAGAAGAGAATGTTGAAAATTCAATCTGGCTAAAACTAAACACCCAATAGAACTCCAGGAGAAGATATTTTATACATTTCTGGTTCAAACGTATTTCCAAACAACTAGAACAATCTTCTCCAACATGGCACCATCAACCTATATGATTTTTTAACCCCACATATATCAGTGATAGCAAGTATGGTTGAGAATCAGTATAATTTCATGAGGAAGATTCAACTTCTTAAAGATATGGATAAAACTGAGTATCTGATGGTATATTCACATAAACCGTCAAAGAAAAATGGCAAAATCCACTGCATGGACAATTTTGTCATAATCATCGCCATCCTATTATCATACAATCAGTTCAGTCACCTTTTTCTAGGAAAAAATTAGCAGTTTGAGAGTGGCTACTTCAGTTATAGTCTTAATTCCAATTTTATTTTCCTTCCATTCAATCATGTCTGATTTTTGGAGTCTGTCTGGACAAATCCCTACAATTTTCTTGGCAAGGTTTTTGAAAAGTGATTTGCCACGGTCTCCTTCCTAGGATTGAAAGTAATTGACCCAAGATCATCCAGCCGGTTTCATACCCAAGACAGGAGTAGAACTCACAGTCTTCTGGTTTCTAGCCTGATGCCTTAACCCAGGGGTCCCCCAACCCCCGGGCTACAGCCCACTTCCAGGCCACTGCCTGTTCAAACAGGGCTATGTGAACGATGGACAAGTGCACGCAAAGCTCCACGTGAGCGGAGGAGGGCATGTGTGCAGGGGGAAAGCTCCATTCGCATGAGCAGAGGGTGCTTGAATAGAGAGCCCTTGTGCTCATGCACAAAACTCCACTCACATGCGTACTCTTCACTCATGTGAGTGGAGCTTCGTGCGTGAGCACAAGCATCCTCCACAATTGAGTGCAGCTTTGCACATGAGCACAAGTGCCCACCACTTGCACAAATGCAGCTTTGCACGTAAGTTCACACATAAAGCTCAGTTTGTGTGAGTGGCACTAACCTCTTGGACCAATGGAGCTGAGTGTACCTGCCAGTCACCTGCCTCCCCTCCCTCCTTGTGCCAGACTGCCAAGCTGGAATGGTTGGGGACCACTGGCTTAACCACAACACCAAACTAGCTCTCCAAATTCCAACTATCTTCTAAGTCAGAGGTGGATAATTAATTTTCCCAAGAGGGCCACATGAAAAACTCTGGTTGATGTGGAAGGCCGAACCAATATAATCTGATTTGATGTCCTCAAAATTCATCCTCTCAGCTCCTCAGGTTGCTCGAGGTGAGGGGCAAGTACTGCACAGGAGTAGAAAAGCACTTCCTCTTCTCGTCGTCCTGCAGTCAACAGCTGACTAAAGGAGCACACAGCAATTGTGTAGAGCTACTTCTTCTGTCCTCTGCAGCATGCATTTGATTTCTAATTGCTAACTGTCCTCACATCAGCCACATAGGTACAGCCAAAGGACCGATGTGGCCCAGAAGCCATAAAATGCCTGAATCTTCTCTAAGTAATTTTGGAACTAGGATTTCTTCAATAGAGAAGACCATTAAAATTATGTGGTAGCACAAAAAGGGCAACTGGATAAGCTTCCTGAGATCAAGGCACACTACAAACTCTTTAGTGGAAGAGAACAGAAACTTCACATGAAAAGGCTCTGACTACTTTCATGCCTTCCTGATCTAGAGAAGAGCCTTCCACAGAATCAGAAGAGCAGATCATGACACTACTCTTAAGAATAGTCTTCCTCACATGATTTCTATGTGCTGAAATGTGGAGGGTCTTTGCTTTCTAATCTAATCAGCAGGACTCTCCAATGGGCAATGCTAACCTAGCCTTAACCTAGCCTAAGTTCCAAAACCTGGGTCTGTTAATCCTCCTCATTAGCTACCTAGATACAGCTCAGTGGCTGTATGGAGCTGAAAATCTTTCCACAGGTAATTGATGCAGCAATTTCATAAGTTTGCTCATTAACTGGAGTAGAAAATCACCTGTGAAAAGAAGATGGGCAAGGAAAAAGAAAACAGGTTTCTTCACTGCTTTCCACAAGTAAGTTATCATTAATATATAGTGATCTCAACTTGTTTGGGTTTGTATAAACCAAGGGTCTTCAAACTTGACAGCTTTAAGACTTCTGGACTTCAACTCCCAGAATTCCTCCTCCAGTCATGTTAGCTCAGGAATTCTGGAAGTTGAAGTCCAGAAGTCTTAAACTTGCCAAGTTTGAAGACTCTTGGTATAAACAAAACAAATAGTTCCTAATGTCACTGGCCCATCTACCTGGAGAATATAAAGATGCTCCTGAGCTCTAAATAAAAAAGATTTCCCTTTCCAAGTGTGAGGTTGCCTCCCACCTTGAGATTGTTACTGAGAGCTAGTTAGGTGTTGCCTAGGAACCTACTAATACCTATAAAATAGGATGTAGCAGAGAATGAGATTTTCATTTAAAAGCATGGTGAGATGTAACATTAATTAGACAAATCTTTTATTATTGTTAATGCATGACAAACAATAACTTGTTGCCTTTTCCTCTGAAGGCTACTCCTTTCTTTCAACTCTGCCCTTAGCGGAGAAACAGCTAACATAGGCAAACACAGCATTATGCTGATGCCACAACCCCAGGTTTCCAACTTATAGTACGCCTGGCTGAATACTTTAGCCCATACAACTCTCTTCCAATAGTACTTTTCAAGAACACAACCACATTTTCCCCAAGAAAATATTACAAAATCTCTCTGCCCTTCCCTCCCCATTATTTGCTGGTTGCAAGGAAACCTTGGCCTTGAATGCTGCCTCAGATATTGGGAATTCAAGATGATCATTGATGTGTTCTAAAAAAATGGCATTAAATCTCACTTAGACTTCTTTTTTTTTAGCTAGTATGTACAGTTGTGGCAAGCTGTATATCTCCAAATAGCTTACCAGATTCTACAGAAACGATTAACACTAAATGAATCTTTTCAATGCATTATATTTCTAAGGATAATTTTTGGTATGTTCTTCATAACTGGAAAAGTCCCTGCTCTGAGAGTTGCACTGGTTGTCAGCAAGTTTCCAAATACAATTCAAGGCACTGGTTATTATCTACTTCTGGTAACGGGCACAGTTTAGCAATGTGGTCATTAGGCAAAACATCAGATGACCTCATCACCTGGCACTTCACGTCATCTTTCACTGAATTCCACCATTGTTAGGCAGTCCTTAACAGAAGCGATAGGGCTTAAATAGAGACCCGGGTACTTCACCCCCAGGCCTTTAGCCACAGCACAATCAGAGTGATGCCTCAAGTTTTGTGCCATAGCCAGCCACCCGAATGCCACAGCACAAAGCCCCTACCAAACTGCATTCCACAAATCCTGCCATGCCCAAATGACCTTACTCTTCTTCCTACTGCAAGGGGGTTGCACTTGATCTGGCTCTAGGTGAGGCAGCTATTGGCTACTCTAGGCCTGTTTTCCCAAAGCAGTTTGTGCTGTTCTCCTCATAGATGTAGTCCTCAACTTACAACAGCAACATTTCTGTTAAGCAAGACACTTATTAAATGAGTTTTGCCCCATTTGATGATCCTTCTTGCCACACTTTTTAAATGAAGCACTGCAGTTATTAAGTCAGTAATATGTTTGTTAAGCAAATCTGGCTTCCCCGTTGACTTTGCCTGTTAGAAAGTTCCAAAAGGTGATCGAACACATGATTCTGGAACAGGGCAACCATCATAAATATGAACCAGCTGCCAAGCATATGAATTTTGATCATGTGACCATGGCAATTATTCAACAAGTGTAAGTGTGAAAAACAGTTTCACTTTTTTTCAATGCTGTTGTAAGTTTCAACGGTCACTAAATGAACTGTTGTTAAGTTGAAGATTACCAGTAATGCACTCTGCTTTGCGATGCTTTGGAAAATCTTCATAAAGCTTCAGAAGCCTTCTGAAAGATTGTGAGACTGGGGCATACTAATTGGAGAACAGTACAAGTGGCCTCAGCAAAAAGGACTGGAACAGCCAACAGCAGCCTGACATGGGGCAAGGCTGAGTGCTTCTGGTCAGCAATGGAAGACAGCTAAGGTCAACTGGGTGTGGCAGAGCCTGCAGAGTGCAGGATGGCGATTTTGCATTGTAGCACTTGAAGAAAAGTGGTGCTGAAACTAAAATAGCAGCCTGGGGGCAACTGGTGGAAATTGCTGGATCCCAGGCCTCTACTTTATCCCCTGTACTCCTGTTTTAGTTTAGTTTACTTTATGGTCATTACACCTCGTACAACGAAATCAAACAACATCTTCAGTGGACATCATGACCATGACAATAAACACAAATACACAACCTTCACCCTCCACACATTGAACCGAAAACCCCCAACACTGCACCAACATTGCACTATACAGAAAAATTCAAAACAGCTACTACCCTGGGATAGAAGCTGTTTTTCAGCCTATTTGTGCTTGTTTTTATTATTCTGTACCGTCTGCCAGAGGGTAATAGTTAAAAAAAAGGGGGTTCCCAGGATGACATGGATCTTTGAGAATGTTTTGAACTTTCTTAAGGCAGCAGGAGCTATAAAGCTCTTCCAAAGAGGGGAAAGGGCAACCAATGATCTTCTGGGCAATGACTTTAACCCTCTGGAGTGCTTTCCTATCTGACACTGTGCAATTGGTAAACCCTACAGGGGTGCAGTAAGTTAAGATACTCTCTATGGTGCAGCGGTAGAAGGTCACCAGCAGTTTGTCATTTAGTTGTTGTTTTCTGAGAAGTCTCAGGTAGTATAATCTCTGCTGAGCCCTTTTGACCAGTGCTGCAATGTGAGCACCCCAGGTCAGGTCCTCTTTTACGATAACACCTAGAAACTTAAAACTGAACACTTGCTCCACTCAGTCTCCATTGATAAGCAAGGGCTGGGTGTCTGATTTCTTCTATAATCCACTATAAGCTCCTTGGTCTTATTGGTATTGAGGACCAAGTTATTATCTCCACACCATGAAAGCAACCGGTCCACCTCATCTCGATAGGCATCCCTCTGGAGATGAGTCCCACCACTGTTGTATCATCTGCAAATTTAGCAGTAGTATTACTAGCGTGAGTGGGAATACAGTCATGCACATAAAGAGTATAGAGTAAGGGACTCAACATGCAACACTGTGGTGTACCAGTGAAGAATAAGGGCTGAAGAGGTATGATTACCTAATCTGACCCTCTATGAGTGGCCAGACAGGAAATCCATAATCCAAAGGCAGATTGAATAAGAAAGCCCAAGGTCCAGAAGTTCAGACACTAGTCTATGTGGAAGAATTGTGTTAAATGCAGAACTAAAATCTACAAAAAGAATCCTCACATAGCCCCCCCTCCCCCGCTGTTCTAGATGAGTCAGAGCACTGTGAAGAGTGATGGCTATAGCGCTCTCTGTAGATCTATTTCTTCTGTATGCAAACTGGTGTTTATCAAATGTTTGCGGAAGATGAGAAACGATGTGCCGGAAGACCAATTTCTCAAAGCACTTCATGATGATAGGAGTGAGTGCCACTGGTCTGTAATCATTGAGGTTATTGATAGGGAACTTCTTTGGCAGTGGAACAATGGTGGAAGCCTTCAAACAAAATGGAACAGTGGATTGGGATAAAGACCGATTTAAGATCCTGGTAAAGATTCCAGCTAAATAATCAACACAGTCTTTAAGCACTCGGCCAGAGATACCAGCAGACTTTCTAGGATCCACAGCCCCCAGAATGCTCCTCACCTCCTTTTTCTCCACCATGAGGTGGGTGCTACAATTGGCTGGTGATTGTATTTTAGCTGCCTCTGATGTCTCCACTTCAAAGCGACCAAAGAAATGATTCAGTTCCTCTGCCAATGAAGCATCCCCCTCAGTAGGGATGACATTGGTCGGTTGATGGTTTGTAATTTGTTGAATCCCTCGCCACACCTGCCTCATGTTATTGCTATAAAAATTATCCTCAATCTTCCTCTTATAATCAGTCTTGGCCTTCCAAATACCTTTCTTCAGATTAGCTCTGGCAACACTGTATCTTTCCCCATCACCAGACCTAAAGGCCTTGGTCCTGTCATGCAAGAGGCACTGGACTTCCCTGGTCATCCAGGGTTTTTGATTGGGATAGATCCTAATACGTTTATTCACAGTGATAGTATCTGTGCAGTGTTTGATATAGCATAGAACAGTTGCAGTGTGCTCCTCTACGTCAAGGTGGTAAAAGATGTCCCAATTTGTGTTCTCAAAACAGTCCTGAAGTTGTTGGGAAGCATCTTCTGGCCAAGATTTCATTTCTTTATTATAGGCAGAGCCCATCTCCTAAGAGGGATGTAAGCTGGTGCTAAAAGCAGTGACATATGGTCTGATTGTCCCAAATGTGGTAATTGTATAACCTTATAACCATGTTTGATGTTGGTATATACTTTGTCCAATATGTTTGCTCCTCTAGTAGCACACTTAACATGCTGATAGAATTTAGAGAGCACTGCTTTTAAATCAGCTTGATTAAAGTCCCCCGCTATGATATGCACAGCATCAGGATACTTATTCTGCTGATTACTAACAATGTTATACAAGAATCACAAAGCTATGATAGTATTGGCATCAAGTGGGATATAGACTGCAGTAGTCAAAACCACGCTGAATTCCCGCGGAAGATATATGGGTCTACATTTAAAAGTCATATACTCCAGATCCATGGAGCAGTGGCTGTCTACAGTTTCTGTATTGATACACCAGCTTTTGTTCACATAAAGGCTAAAATCTTCCCCTTTGATCTTGCTAGAATCTCTACTACTGTTCTGCCGGTGAGCTAAGTAGCCTTCTAGCTCAACAGCTTTATCTGAAATGAGTGAATGAAGCCAAGTTTCTGTGATTAGAAAAATACAACAGTTCTTGATGAACTTAGTCTTTGCAATCTGTAGCCTTAATTCATCCATTCTGTTAGTCAGAAATCTTGCATTGGTAAGAAATATACTTGGAATTGAAGGCTTGTGTGGAAACTTACTGAGCCTAAAGAAAAGCCCAGCACGGCATCCTCTCTTCCTCTTCCTTTTTCTCTGCCTCTTCCTCCTTCCTACAGGGATAGTGATCCATAGCTCCCCCAGGATCCTAGCTGCCTAGCTCCTTCAGTATGTTATGAGAATGTATAAAATCATCCATAATAGCCTTTTCACATTTCAGTCCAATCTGTAACAAGGCTTGCCGACTATAGATGCCCCTTGCCCCACAGGATTCCATCGTAAAGGATCCAAAACACACACTGAATCATACACACCATACACTGAAAGAAGGAGTGGCCAGCTGCAGCATCCATGTGCGCAGCCATCTTGAACACTGTGAGGAATGCCGGGCTGCCAAAAGGGCAGAGATTTTGGGTTGAGGGGGAGGATAGGCAGAGGGGATTTGAAGGGCCCCTACAGTCAGTGTTGCCAAGCACCCAAATTTTGACCATATAACTAAGGGACCATTTGCAAGTTGTAACTTCAGAAGCCAGGTGTAAATTCATTCAATGAATACTAGTAATTCAAGGACTACCAGGTTACTCTTTATTGACACAAGGCTAGTTTATTTAAAGGACTGCCTCTCTTCCATGGTATCTGCGGTATCCAATAACATCAGGCAGAACTGATGGGTTATGGATTCCATACAATGCTATCCAGAAGAACCCAGGAAACATGACTTCTTTGTCATGGTACCTGTCTGGCACAACACCCTCACTGGAAGTTCCTGCTCTAGAAAGTCTTAAAAACACATATCTTTAGCAACACTCTGCAATTGACCCCAATCAAATAGTTGGGGTTTTATAATTTATAATGTATGACTGGACATAAATCTCTTTTTTGATTTTTTTTTAAATATAGTACAAGCCTCCTGGAGGGAATTTGTTATTGAATCAGATCAATAACAAAATTTCACAAGACTGTCTCCCTCAGTCTCAGCTAGTACCTTCCAAAGATATCTAGGTACAATTACTAATACTGGCTGGGAATGGCAGTTCAACACAATTGGTGAGTACTAGGGTGAGGAGGTTTATGCCCAGAGAATCAGTTGGTACTGATCAGTTGGTACTCCAGTTTTAGTTTCTTAGTAGTTAATAGCACTCACTATGAATTGTAATTCTATTTTGCCCTCCAAAATGCTCTGTGGACAGACACTTCCATTTGTTTTTATCAGCCATTCAAGATAACCAAGAAATGGCTCTGGATTGCTTCAAAAAGAATTCTTCCTTGGAAAAAGTCAACATGTGTTGATCATATGGTCGTTTTTGCCACCTTCTTCCAAATATATTTAGAAGCCAACATATGCCAATATAATATATAGCATTAGAATCTGCTCAGAATCCCATACATGGAAATTAAGCACAGACAACCAAGGAAAACAATTACAATTACCTCTTCACTGTCTTCATCTGGATTCATTTTCAGAGCACCAACATCCACAACACGCCAACTGCAACGATTGGATCAAAAAAGAGGAGTCAGTAGGGAAAATACATCCATTGCCACTTGGATACAACAGCAAAAGGAAATCTGCTACTTTAGCATTTGGCTTTTCCTCCATGGAGGCTTATGGTGAGATTTTCATTAACAATCAAAACGACTCAAGAACTCTACTTAAGCTGAAGACTGAGCTTAATCCTTGCTCGGGAAAGTTAAGAGTCATATTAGAGCCTCACTCTTATGGTGGCATTTCAGACTATCTGCCCCTTCTAAACCTCAGTACCACAAATATTGCCTTTGGTTTTCTAGCACACCTTCCTAACTCTTTCCCCTCTTCAGGTAAAGCAAATAAGCTTCAAACATCTTTTTAGAGACCTCACTAATGTTCATAGCAGTCATATCTCAATCTGCCCTTTTTTAACATGCAGTGGCAAAATTTCAAATCAGACATACCAGCTCACCCCAACTCATGCCTTCAAGTCTCTGTATGTACTAGGCTGCAATTACAATCACCCTCTGCAAAATCTCTTGATATTTGCCATTAAAACAAAATCACTTTATTTGGAAAATGTGTGAGTATTATTGAGGGAAAATGCATGTTGATTCCTATATAACATATTCTATTACTGTTAATTGCAATAACAATATTAAACATATATTGCTTTTGCAAGGATCAACTGGAAATTTGCTGGAGAGCATGGTGAAGATGATGTAACAGATCCAAGGGACAGAGCCAGAGATAGATAGCTATTCATTTCCTCTATGTTAACAATATAGAGCCACTAAAAGAGATTACTGTTGCCATGACAGCGTGAAAAAAAAACACACACACAAAGAAGAAGGGATGGGAAATATTTCACATTTGCGTTCTATGAGCATCACAGCCTTACTCTAATTCAGCTGATTTTTTTTCTCCTATTCTAATTTTTAACCAAGCAGTAGAGATCATTTAAATTGGTGACTGAAGCATTGGATCTTTTAAATTAAAAGCATGATAAGCTATGACTCTTCCTAGAAAAGTACAGAACCATAGCCCTGCAGTCATATGACTGTGATTTATAATGCTTTTGCTGGAAACAAGTTATTTACTTCTGGTTTCCAGGAAAAAAACCCTGCCCATAGCAAAAAATGGGTTCATTCTGCTTAATGACTATGATGAACATTTTATAACCGCTGCGCATGTCTGGTTACGTGACCCACCTTACAACTGTCATGACTCACAGACAAAATTGTTGGTTCAATTTCAGTCATATATCGAATAACCATACGTAACAAGGAAATTCCATCAAGGCCACAGTTAAGACCCTGCATTTCTGCTTTCAATCTATAAAATCTACAATAAAGTATTTTATATCAAGCTACTAGACCTTATGCAACCTCATTCTCAATAGAAATATGGCTTCTGTGATGACAAAACAAAATTTTGTAAGGAGCCCAGTGTAAGGAACATACTAACTACATTTCCCTTTCCTGGGAAATCCTTGGCCCTTCCAAATTTGATTAGACACCTGTTCTGGAACATATTTAGCAAAAATGTTTAACCTGATCTTAAGAGAGTTGTTCTGCTTCTAGACTGTTGAGGGAGAAATGGTAGTCTTCTAGATACTATTTAACTTGTTTAAAATATCTTTTACTACTGGGCATGCTAGCAGTTGAAAAATATAGATCAGCAATATCTTGGGGTTCAGAGGCTCACTCACACATGGATCCTTATCTATGATAAGTTTTCTGTAGTCTAAAAGCACTGGTGCCTACAAGTTTCATTCAGATGTTCTGTAGAATAGAAAAAGCAAGATTCAAATTGTTTGTTCTTTTAATATGGTGGAACATTTATCAAGTAGTTCCCAGTAATTTTCTATAAAAGGAAGACTGCAAAAAAAATTAGAAGGGACATCACGCTATTCAACTGGTTTAGATGAACAGGAAGATTGTGGAAATTTAATATGCTAACTAAACCTCCGAACATACCTTGGTGTAAGAATTTCTTTGTACTGAAGTTTTTCTACCCTGGTTGTGGCAGCAACAGACATTGGTATGACAATGTTGTTAATGTCAAAAGAGCTTTCCCCTCTTCTCCTCCTTGGCTGCTGCTGCAAAACAATGCAGAAAACAACAGTAAAAATGAGGCAGGGATATGAAGAGGGAACAATTTCAAAGCTAACCTATAGCAGAAAGAAAGGACAAATGTTTTGGCCTTTTAATCTAGTGATTAAAATACAATGGACGTGGAATTATTTAAGTTCTAATTTGCTTAAATATTCCAGGGAACCAGCTACTAATGGAAAATATAGATATCCTGATGTAAATTCCAAGTTAAGCAACCTTGTAACTAAAACTAAAGCAAAGCTACCCTACCCTTTGAATAGCTTGTAAAGCATATATTTATTTATTGGAAAGCCTTCTTCCCAACAGCCCATTTTTCTAAAAATTGATAAAATGTGCAGTATGTTGCTAGTTCTAACATTCATAGATACTCTGCATATATAATCCTACATAATAAAATTAAAACAAGTGCTTGTGTCTGCTGATTTTTGCCTAAGATTCTACCAGGCTCTTCATGAACATGGGATTTTTTTTTTGAGAATACCATCTCTGGCTCAGTGGGTTGGACATATTGTGGCAGATCTAACTTTTCCTTTTAGCTGTTTTATAAAGGCAACGTTTCTCAACTTCGGTAGCTTGAAGATGTGGGGATTCCAACTCCCATAATTTCTGGGAATTGAAGTCCACACATCTTCAGATGGCTACGGTTGGGAAACCCTATCTTAAAAGAGATTCTCAAGCCTCTAAGCTCTGTTGACATAGCAATTTATACCAAATTATGATATCCATTCTCGACAGATATTCATTACTTTGTTTTTATTGCAACTTTCAAAATCAAGCTATCTTCTTTATTGCTTAAAATACTTGGTGTAGAATGTAAGAACTTTTTTTTAATGTCAACAAGCTTGGAAGAAATACTATAACTTATTAAGAGGCATTTAGAAAAAAATAGCTTACTTTGGGAAATTTGAAACTAACCTTATTACATTGCAAACTTTTAAAATGGTGGTCAACTTGGGAAACCTTGAAGTAGAGGAAACCAGACATGAAACATACCACAAACAATACTAGCAATAAATGTTTACAAAAACTGCTTATAATTTACCATTGTCTCAGTGTCCTCCTTTCCCCCCAGTATGAATAAAGAGGATAAAAACCAAGCACATGCATCTACTGCTGTTAAAACTGCACTTTAATCATAAGTTGAGACAAACAATTAGTCTAGAGCACTGCTACAGGGAGACAGAGAGACTCAGTAGCCTCACTTCAGCTGCTAATGTTGGAAAATAGGATTGTTACACATGTACAAATCTTGCCCCTGATTGGCTAGCACAAGGCCCCTGTCATGCATAAATGGACCTAGTATTATTTAGGTACCTGAGAGGTTCAATGAAATATGAACCAACAGAAGCTACTCAGGGCAGAGATGCAAATTTCACGATCCAGTTCTTGCTTGCAAACTCATAAAGAGGTACTAATACGGAAACCAAAGTTACGCGCGTGAGATTTTTTAAGTATCATAGTAATGCAAGCCAAAAAAGGGGGGGCGGGAAGGGAAGACCTTCTTATTTGCCTCTATCTGAATTAGAGGTCTTAAAGTTATTCATGAACACATTTAGATATTTATACCTAGACTAGCTTTTTCCAAATTGGTCCAATGCTGGGTCTGTAACAGAAGTGATCAGGGATAATATTTTCCCCCTACACTAGTCATCATTCTGGATGGGTTATATTCTTAATAAAACAGGATGACTAGCATTTGGAAGGGCTCCTTCACACCACCTGCTATCCCCGATTTTCAGGTGGCATGAGTGGTAAGGAATATGGTCAGGCATATAATGTATCTGAGCTGGCTAGATGTAGCAATAATTAACACTTCTTGGTTATAATGCAATGTTTTCTACATAGTTTTAGTCCTGAGGAGTGTGTGTGGAGGCTTCAACTGGTAGAAAATGCAGGAACCAAGTTGCTAACTGGTAGACAATATCAGAAGTGTACTTTGCCCATTTTGAAAAACACAGCCCATTGTTACTATCTTACAGACACAATTTTAGATATTAGTTTTCATCTTTAAAACCCTGAATGGCTTAGGACCTTACTATCTGATGGACCAGTTGGTTAAATCATAAATCAGTAGAAGAGGCTCTTTATAGGTACCTTCATTTTCCTGATCTATTTAGTAAACACCTGAGAGATGGCCTTGTTTCCAAGTTTTGGAACACGCTCCCTGAAGAACCATAGTCTGTTTCCACTCTTTCTGCTTTCAGAAAATAGATTAAAACCACCTTCTAAGTTCAGTCCTTTTCTAATTGCATTAGCTTACTAGTGGTTTTAACAATATTTAATAAGGTTTTTTGCCCCTTTGTAGTGACTTTGTAGTGATTGCTTTATATGTAGAGACACAAAAACAAATAAATTCCACCATAACCAACAAAAGCATAACTACCAGTATGGTGATGGGAGATGCAGTCCAAAATCATCCAGAGAATTTAACCTAGTCCACAACTTCCAATATAACATTCCAATATATTTGGAATGTTCCAGATATGTATATGTTTTTACTGAACATTTTTCTTTCTTTTTTCTCTCATCTGCCCAACAAATAAAAATTCAACTAATTTATTTGCTATTACTTCTAATTGTAGGAGCTCCTTTTTTATAAACGGAACTGGTTGACTGATCATGTTCCATTATGGCCATTATTAATTCATATTATTTGGCCTTTTCCAGGGTGAATGAAATGAATTAGCAATTGCAGTTCAAACGGTTTGTGAAATATTATTTCACTATTCAACTCGAATTTGGCCAAGAAAGCATGAATGCTTCTTAGACTGATATCCAGCTTTTGTACAGGAATTTAAGGAATTATATTCTATATCTTTTTCTTAAATTTCATGCATGAAATTAATGTGGCAGTTGCACTTTTATAGCTGAATGTGGATTTCAACCCGTGATTTAGCTACTACCCCATACTTACTAAAATGACATTAAGCTGGTCCTGCTTGTGTCCAAACAAAGAATCTCCAGGTAAAAATTAGAATGCTATTTTGAACATTTCCTCTAGAGATGTCGCTGAAATTCTACTTTTACCTGATAAGCACTACACAGCTTGAAATGCTCAAGCTGGGCAGCATATAAATTTAATAAATAAAATAAATGACTATTTCAAGCAAGTAAACTTGCTTGGCATAAAGAAGGGGAATGAATAGGGAGCTAGTGAAGCAAAACACAGTGAACTTATAGGGTGCTATTAGTGTTTAAATGCCAAGAAAATAAACCACAAGATGGCTCCTGAAAAGCATTTTCTAAATGCTTGACAAGTCTGGAAAACCAAATCCCGCCAAATGAAATTACCTATCACTAGCAATTGCTGAAATGTTTCAAACAAAATTAAGTATCCACTACTGTGCCTTTCTAGAGTCTGGGCACACAATCTCTTACTCCAGTCACCCTACGTATAGGCTATTCTATACATAGGATGGGAAATTCTGGGCTGTCATGCATGGGTTAGAATATGTAACTTTTGCCTGTGAAATGTTTTGTAATGGGAGAGTGGGAAAGGAGAAAAATCAGAGATGGTAACATGAAGCAACAGCTAAAAGTATACAGAAGACGTAGGGAGGAAGGGATAACTAATGCTGTTAGTTATGCACAAGGGGGACAGTGGTGCGCAATTAAAGAGAAGAAGGTGGCACCAGTTGGTTACAAAAGGTAGATATAGGCTAAGTTTCAGAGTGGCAGTAGACAGCTACGGCAAAGCAAGCCTTGGGAAGACAGAGAGGGAGGGAGAGCAAGCTATATAGAGAGGAAGAAGTACACCAATTTTACACTACTTCTTTTCTAAGGTCCTTTCCAATTGTCTGGGTCAAAATTAAAAAACAAACAAGCAAACTAGTGGGTTTCAATTCAGCTGGACTGAAAAGCCATAAAGTCCCCTTCTATGTATCCATTTCTTAACTTCATTTCTTACCGTCATTCTCTCACCCGTTCTCCAATAGGATTCACAACTTCCTTGTTCCCAAACCCAGAATATATTAAGTCCCCAACTCTGAAGCCTGCTTTTCTTCACTTTTTCTTCAGTCTATATCTAAATCCAATTGTTTAGAACGTTGATGAGCATGAAAGCTAAAAATAATCTTTTCCATTGTACTTTTGATACAACCCTTTGTATCCCATACTCTATAATTGAAACAAAAGAGCACATATGAATATCCTTCTGTTCAAGTCATTCCTCCTTGCCCTAATTTTTCTTCTGTCAGCTCTCAAGCACCTTGAGATATGGTATGACTTGGGTCATGCAACACACTGTATCCTGAAGCACTGAAGAAACCAAACTCTAAGTCATTTGCTACTGTCAGGTAAACCCTCGTCCCCACCCAAAGTACTTACAGTTGCACTGGAGCTTCCCAAGGAACTTGTGGTGACAGGAGGGATAGGATTTTCAGAGGAAGTAGAGAGTTGCCTCATGAAGGAACTGTGAGCCGTGGAGGCCATAGCACTCGACAAGTAACTTGGCCCTCCAAACTCTGCATGATGCTTCAACACTATGCAAGGAAGAAAGAGAAGGAATAAGGTAGAGAGCAATGAGTGAAAACAATGCCTGTATTACACCCACAAGAATTACACCAGACAGGCATCGAACACACTTAAGGGAAAGAAGCTTCCTCTGGCTGGACTGCTTCTCTAGAGGAGGAAGTTGTTAAAGCACACAAGAGAGCCCCTGGCAGGTAACACCACTGCCGCTTTTAATTCCCCAGAAACAGAAAGCAGCCCTCTCGAAAGTGAGATGGGGAGCAGAATGCAGATCCCAAACTCCACCCAGACAGACCTGGCTGGGGCCAGCCTACCTTCACTTCTCTCGGAGGAGCTGTCCCGCAATCGCTTTCTCTCATGAACTGCCGTCAGGATAAGTGAGCGCTCTGGCGCTCTCTCGGCCTTGGGAGCAGCCCTCACATCGTTTAAGGGTTGCCTGTATGCCTTGTCTGGCTCAACTTTGTGATGTGAGCAAGCTGAGGAGTGGAACAGAAAGAGAGCCATGAAAATGCCCTGCTTTCACCCCTCTTTCCTGCCTTTCGAGACCCAGCCTAGACAAGACGCAGGAGCCATACGAGCATGATTGCCAGAACAACATAAAAGAGTTACTGGCAGCAACTGCCCTTGGGTGACGACCCTATTAATTTAGCGGTTGCAATAAAAATCTATCCATCCACCCTGTTTGCAAGGCCTACTAGAGCGCGGAACTTTTGAGCTGCACCCAGCCCTGCCAAGGCTTCTAAAATGCTGGCTTCCATTCTGGCACACGTGTTTGTGTCAATTACATTCTGTAAAGAGAACTAAGAGGCAATTACATATGGTGCTACTTGACCACTGCAGAACAATCTCAAAAAACAAGAGCAGCAGGACCTCTCTTTTGCTTTAAGTATTAAACTTACCTTTGCAGTTGATCAATTATATACTGTTCAGTGTTCCTGATGCTCAGTGCAGACAATCCATTCAAAAAGCAGGAACAAACATGTGTGTATGCATGCAAATTTATTTTCTCTTGCTCATTTAGGAACACACAATCTATGTTTAATTGTTTTCAGTTCCAGAACAACACATACCATAACCATGAAGCATTCAAGAATGACTGCGTTCTACATATACTCAGCGTGGTTTTCCCATAACAGCAGCCAACACTAAATAATTGCCCCCCCCCCCCCCCCCATGCCCTAACACAATTCAAACAGTCTAGGACATCTTATTTCAGAAACTTACTCTCTTTCTATTTTGTAAGAAAAGGGAAAGGGAAGGGAGGTTGGTAATCTCAATAGCAAAACTCATGTTTGTGTGCTCAGAGTCATAGGTCAATCTTTGGCATCTTCAGATAAAAAGGGTTGTCAAACAGAAGTAGTGTTTTTCAAGCCAGAATACACTAAACTCTAGACTAGATGGAGCAATGATCTGGCTCAGAATAAGGGATACCCTTATGTCTATAATATTAAGCATTATTTTTATTATTCCTCTCTATGCAACATAATCCTTCAAAAAGAGTTACATGTTTAATTCCTTCAGTTATTCACGCTAGATTTTTCTTTTCAACTAATATGAAGTTAAGTCTTCCTTATCATTAACTCACACAGACACTGCAAAAACCAGGATCGAAGCAAGAGCCTAAGTTTCATTTCAATAAACATTGATGCACCATTGGTTCTTGCCTATTTTGTTTTTTCACTGCTTAATTATTTGCACAAAGGAATTTTTAGAAGTTTACAAACTTCTCTTCTTTATAACTAACCCATTTAACCTTTCTTTCCCTCTTAAAAGCTAAATTAAATTACTACTAAAAGAGGACATACTGTCAGAAATTATACCACCAAAGGAAGAAAGTAGAGCGGAGCCTCTAGGTGGCCTGTAATCCTGGAAAGCTTTGCCTAAAGCTAGAGTTTGCGTACTATTATTATGGGAAGCCCAAATACTCAATGTATTCTCGCAGGCAGTCTCTTATTTATTATTTCCTTTTCCAGACTGGGCACTAGCATTAATCACATTTCAAAGTGGAATCCTGGTTCACTTTAAGCCATACACATAGATGACTCTGCAGGACCAAATGGATAATTCCTGCCAATTCAAGACTAAAATCAATGAAGGCACTTACTGGCGGTTGCTGAAAAGGTATTAACCAGCTTGTGACGGTCTTTGCGCATTGAGTCAGACAGACTGCTAGAAGGCATGGTGGATCGGTGCTTCAACACGAGCTTTTTGGGAGGCTTGGTTTTCTCACAGGGTTTGTACTGCAAGTGGGATTTCAACATGCCCTGAAGGTGTAAGCCTATTTGTACATCTGCAGAAAAATAAATACACACATACACAAACATAAAACCAAAAGAAGGCATTTATCAGACATTATTCAGAATAAAGATGGCCTATTGTGAATGCAGAACAAAGTTCCCCATCAAATCTATCTAAACATAAATTTGGAGATTTATAGTAACATGGATTAAAAACAATCATCCATTCAGAGCCAATAAAGCAGTATTTATTTATGGAGTTCTTGATTTTCATGCAGTAATAAAATCACCAGTTGCAGCTACCCTAACATTGTGCCCTCCAGATATTTTGAGTCCATTGGACTCCATTGAGTCCATCTGAACTAACATAGCCTTCAGCAACAATATATCTGAGGGGCATGGGCCTTTTTTGGGTGGAACAAGTACCAAAAGAAAAACCATTGGATTACTGCATTAATTATGACTCCGTCAAATATTTTATAAAATATTGTTCTCCTATTGTTAGTTTTATGTTTTGTTCTTTTTATTTATAAATTGCTTAAAGGGTTGACAGTAGAAAATAAATACAGGTAGCCTTCGACATACAACCACAATTGAGCCAAAATTTCTGTTGTTAAGTGAGACATTTGTTAAGTGAGTTTTGTTCCATTTTATAACCTTTCTTGCCAGAGTTGTTAAGTGAATCACTGCAGTTAATAACCTAGTAACATGGTTGTTAAGTGAATTTGGTTTCCCCACTGATTTTGCTTGTAAAAGGTGATCACATGACTCTGGGACACAGCAATGGTCATAAATATGAACCAATTGCCAAGCATCTGAATTTTGATCACATGATCATAAGGATGCTACAAAAGTCGTAACGAAAAAACAATTTTAAGTCACTTTCTCAGTGCTACTGTAACTTTGGAAAGTCACTAAATGAATTGTTATAAGTAGAGAACTATTTGTTGAGAAAGGAAAAATAATCCTTCTCTTTGAGCATGCTCCGCCTCCAGTTAGGACAGAACAGTTTTGTTTGTAGAGACCCAACAACAGAAGAAGCTACTCCATCTCTCCAACTAAAACAGCTTTCTCTGGAAAAAAAAGTCCTAGATGTCTATCCCAAGTTGCATTTTACATGAGAGCAATTCAAATATTTTGTTAAAATCCGAAATAAGATTTGTTTCTGAAAATAAATAATTAAGTGCCTCTTAAATTAAAATGAGGATATTACTAAATAACATAAACAGCAAATTTGCCCTACAGTAAAATTGTGATGGTGAATTGACATTTTTGAGGAAACACGGAGTTAAAAGAGCGTTTCCCCTTACATGAAGAATTTGATCACTTCTCAATTACAACATTGATTCATCATCTATTCAAACCAAGATGTTTATTTTCACATTCCTAGTCTATCCAGTAACAACCTGAACATACTTCCAATTAATTTATCACTGGCATTTTCCTTTTTGTTTGGTAATTTTCTGTATGTGGGTGAAATGGACCGATCATGAACGGGGGACAGAAACCACAAACATCTCCTAGAGAAATGCGGCTGGTGGTGGTGCAGGCAACTTGAAAGGCAAGGTACTAGAAAATGTGTGGTAAGCACCCTTCAGCAAGTAAAAGAAAACATGAAAATGTATGAGGTGTATTCTCTCTCTCACACACACAAACACACACCCCTACCTAGTAAAAACCAAAATGTGTACCTTTGTTTAGAGCATATACACAAGGATGCAAGGCCACATCCTATTCACAGATAACCCACAAACAAAACCTTTCTGAGCATTTCTTGCAGGTTAATGAACAGTGGATTTTAACATGGAGAAAATTCCACAGCATATGCCTAGGCAGTAATTATGTTTTTTTATTGCAAATGTAAATAAAACAAAATTCCATTTTAACTTTTTGCCCTGCCATTGCCTACCACGTTTACAGTGCACCCCTGGGCATAGTACTTCAAAATCAAGGACAGTCACAGTATAGAAATAGCTGCATCCATTGGGTTTGGAAAATAAGTTACCTGCCCAGAATATTCCATAAATGGGTCATACACAAGTACATAGAACTAGGAGCAGGGCTTAAGATAGGAAAGGTAGTTGGATACTGAGAAACAGCTGATGAAAGAGGATGAATTCAGATGTTAATTAAAAAAACAGCCTGGATAACAGGCTGATAAGTAAAATACATTCAGCAGAAAAATTCAAATCAATCTGCCAAGCAAATCTCCTGCCTTTACTCTGGCAACTTGCTAATATAGTACAAATGATGAAAACCATGAAAATGTATATAAACTAAGAAGGCTGCACTGTAGCAGTAAAATAATGCTACCTGTGTGCATGTATATAGAAGAGAGAAGTGCATTGTTGAAGACATACGAGCAATTTTTCCATCTGATCACACCATCCAATTGATTATTCAGTTTACTCTTCCTCCGTCTTACTGCTAGCCAACATCTGACTGCGCCAAAACAGCATTGTGACCTGCCAAGAGAGTCTTTTTTTCCCCTGACCAAATGCTTCAGAGCAACAACCTTCTCTCAAGAACTCCAGATGGCGCTATCTTAGCTGTTTTAAAGACCTGATTAACATCCTTTTCACCAAGGTTGTTATGACGTTATTACGTCATCTGGAAATTTCCAGTCACATATCAAATCATCCAGACGAGGGCAGAACATTCATTAACAACCTCACATATGGAAGAAAGAAGCAGGATGAGGGCAGGGGAAAGGGGGGGTGGGGGGAAGATGCCCAATTGTTGTTTAAATTTTAACTACTAGTCTCTAGCAGTGCATGTCAGGCCACCCTTAGATAATTAGGTCAGGGATGCCTAACATTAGTACCAGAGTAGCTCCAATACCTTAGGAGAGCCAAAGTAAATGCATTTCCAGATCTTCTCTTAACCAAAATCATTCAGTTTCTATTATTCCCCTGTGGCTGCCTACCTCTCTCTGGTCCAAGCAAAAAAGAAAAAAGATTTGGTTTCTGCTTTCAAAGGATCATCCTAAAGCCAGCATCCTATGTAAGACAGGATAAAAGTAGAGATCTTACTGTTGCCTAGATATGGCTGCCGACCTAGCTTGGAATGAGGAGCTGACTTTTGTTTAGCTTTTATTACTCACATCTGCTAATGGGGTCATTCTTACCATCTGAGAATGAAAGTACAGGGTGGATGCAGGAATCCAACTGTGAGAGACGCTCCATCAAAGGGGCTTCATACTGGATTTCTGAAGGCATTGAGCTTCGAGAGCCACAGAGAACACACAAAGGGTTCACATCACAACCACACCGCTGTGGTTTACGATAAACCTAGACATAGGATGAGATAGGGAAAAGTGCTAGAATCCATCAATCTAGAAAAAGGCATCAACTTGCACTTTGTTTCAAACTGAGCACCTGGTCTTCAATCACCCACTAATTAGTTTCATGGCATGGGCTATCAGGTGTGGCCAGAGACCAGTGACTTTGAGGTGCTCTTGGCTGCCTAAAACATAAAGGGAAAAACATGTTTTACTGCCACTGCCTGATAAGGAAGGAAAGAAGAAAACCTCAGGATGGCTCTGGGTAGTCAGGAAAGGATAAGCAAAATTATTCAGCAAAATTTGAAATTGACTTCATTGTAGAATCAATGCACTGGAAAAAGGAAGTATATGATTTGGGTATAGTGAATTACACAAAGTATTTAACAAGCCTTCAAGATGATCTGACAGGAGTGAAAAGGGAACAGGATGGATGATGAGAGACTGATTCTGTGAATTTGCCTAAGTCTACAAGTATAAAGAATGGAGGTTGAGTTTCCTCTGCTGTTTGGGAAAACTACTTGTACTTCAGCTTTTGTAGTTGCGTCTCTTGTTACAGAATTTGTCCAGGATTGGAAAACTACTATTTATAGACTATCCAATAACAGAATATTTGCTATTCATAAACCCAAAGTGTCCACTGAAACATAATTTTCACTGTTGGAACTTCATCCTATTAATGTTCCAATTAAAACAAACAAAAAACCCGCAAACAAACCTTCTTCAATATCCATGATAATACAATAAGTCTCAAAGTAAGATATGTAAAGGTTTTGTTCTTGGAGAAAAAGCACCTTTTTTCCCGCGTCAGGTATTGAGCACTGCAACACTTTTATCTTCAATAGTGATATAGCTCAGAATATATAAAAAATGTTTTTTTTTTAGAGGTTTACATTCTGTGTACTGCGTCTTCTATTTATGCATACAAATTTAAATTTCTTGACTATCAATATCACATTTGTCCTAAGCTGTTAGCCTACCAACTATTGCACTGAAAACAGATCAGTCTGGTTGAAAGTGCATACTTCCTTAATTACCTAGATTAGCTATTTTTTAAATTGTGGGAGAAAGGAGAGGAAAGAACCATTTTAAAATAAAACAACAACAGATAATAATGGCAATATCCTGCAAATGAACTCAAACACAAAATTTAGAACTGATTCTGAATTCAGCATCCTGAATTGTAGCCATTTAAACATTTTTAAATTAAAAAATCTAAAACTAAACTCAAATTAAAATATGTTTAAAATGTGAATCTTTCCTCCCAAAGCAGTCTGCATGGTGGAAGGAGAAGTCAAACCATCTTTCTCTGCCCACTTCTATAGCCAAATAATCAAGACTTAAAATGTAGCTTTCTCAAGTCTTTCCTACTCAATGCCAAACTCATTTAATAGTGGAAAAGTTTTTCTGATATGAAGACCAATAAATGTACTTTATTTGAATATCAGAGAGACTCTAAGCAGATTTTATAGTGATATGGGGCAAAGGAACAATATGTAAAACCAACAATTTGTTAGTTATCTCATTTAGCTGCATATTTCTCCTCTATTTTTTTACTATCTTTATGCATTTACAGACCTTTTTGGAGAGTGGAATCAGATTGCTGGGTCGAATAAGCCTCCGTTTCTTGCAGCCGAGAAGAGGGCGTGTACGGGCTGCCACACAGGTTCCATCAGGGATTGAAGACATCATATTTAATCTCTGCTTTTTCCGCAACAGCTCCTCAGCATCTGAGCCATCTCCCTGAGTATGCTCTGTCAAACCTGGCTGCAGACTGTCCAACAATGGAAATACAGCACATTAGGCATTTCTACTTCTCTATTATTAATCGGGCCTAGATTTTCACTTCTTAAAATCGGCAGCCCATTTGTCCCAGGAAATTAATAAATCCATACATATAATAAAGATTAAAAATTAAGATCAGTACCCTCCAGAATTCTTTTTTGATACCAGGTTAGACTAGATTACAGTGGACATCACCTGTCAGCAACTCTCTAGCTTTTCATTATTTGGAAATGTCAGGTACTGTTCTTCCTTTGTCCTTACTATTTCTCACAACTTCCTGGCTCACATTTTTCTCATCCACACTATTTCACTATTATCCTGTCTTATTCTTCTGCATACAATGGCTGCTCCAGCTTCCAGGAGATTCATTCTGTTAACTTTCCATCAACTTTTTACTTTCTCAATCCAATGCGTTCTCTAGATAAGCTGGTCTACAGCTTCCTGAACCAGCTTGTGGGAAGTTATAGTTATAGTCTAATACCGTGATGGCAAACCAATGGCATGCGTGCTGGAAGTGGCCCACAGAGCCATTTCTGCCAGCATGTGAGAGTCACCCGGAAGAGCCCCACTGCGCATGCGCGCCCCTGCCAACCAGCTGATTATCGGGTATCTACAGTGCATGAGGCATGAGCACCATCATGTGCACATATGCAGAGGCACGTGGCATGGAGGATCACGTGCACATGCAGGCAGAGGGGCACGCTCGCACTGCATCATGTGTGCAGCCATGCACGCACACACTTTTGGCACGCAATGTGAAAAAGGTGAGCCATCACTGGTCTAATACATGTACAGAACATCAGATTGAGAAAGGTCCTTTGACTTACTTCTGCTCAGAAGTTTTGAAATTTTTCCAAATTATTTATTTTTAAGATTTCTAATAAAGATATAAGTGACATGCTGAATAGATACTATCAGAATTGATTTAATTTATATATGCTTATAGGCCTAAGTACCTTCAAGGGTAGCCTTTCAGAAGTACCTTTCTAGAGGTTATGTTTTCTTAAGAAGAGGTTTAACAAGAACCTTACGTGTTAATGACTCCATTAACTGGTCTCGGCACTCCACAGGTTTTGGCAGTTAGAGATTCTTGGGTATTACTAATGGATTTACCAAGGTTCTCCGATGACTGTACCAATACAAGAAATAGAAAGGGCAAGAAGCAGGGGGAGAAAAGAAAAAAAACATTGTTAAATTATATAATTCTCTGATCAACAGCTTCTTTTTCTTTAACATAACAAACTCTATAATCAGCAGCATTTGGGAATCAAGAGTATTTCATAATACGAATTGTACGATAGCTGTAACTCAGCAACGAACAGTACAATAAGCTGGAACATAGAGAGATGATTTCAAAGATCCACTAACTCGGACACAATTAAAGGAACAGCATATTCTGCATCTTCACAGATGCTCTTCTGATCATCTACTTCAAAACAGTTTTTTCTAACCTAGTAATAATAATGGGCAAGCACATCTCATTTTAAAATTCAGTTATCCATCATTTTCATATGGAAGTCAGTTTTCAATGGTGGGACACCTGTCTATGGAAAACTTTCAAATGTATAGACTCTGTGCACACAGGAATACCCAGACAATGCAAACATATCTTGTATGTTTTCAAAATAATTTTCTAAAATTGATTCAGAGGCTCTATATTCTGTATGTTACTGTTCTATGTTTAAATTTACACCATTGAAAGTTTAGTCTTTCACAATTCACCTTAAAACCAAGCTTCTAGTTCTTATACCCATGAAGAATATTTGAGAAGGGCTCAATAAAACTGTCACTCATATTGGAAAGGCTATTTCAAATACAGCACTAGTTTACATATTTATGATTCATAACATTACAGCTTATCTTTAATTTTGAGTTAGTATAAAAAGGATGTGATAAAAACTTTTTAAAACTCAAAATGAATATATTGAGGGAAGACAGGATTTTAAAAGAAACTTTTAGCTCTCTAACAAAAATATTTTTAAAAGGGAAGAAGAGTTTAACTGGCTCAAGAAAAAGGGTAGTCATATTACATTTTGCACATAACAAAGAATTTAGTGAAACTTTAGGAATGAATGCATTTATCACAAGCTTTTACCAATTACAGTTTGCTTTATTATATGAATTAAATGTTACAACCTGATAAAAACAGAGGATATTTCAAGCAACCAAAAGCTTGGAAGTTCTAAGAAAAATGAATCCAGAATATTCTAAGATGACAAAGAAGTTTTTCCGAGGAGTAGAAAAACAACTACATACAATCTACCAACTTATATTCTATGAACTGAATCTGCTGTTATTTCCTACACAGTATCATGTTATGCAAGGGCAATACTATTTAAATTTGCAAAGGCTAGTAAGGACCAAAAATAAAATTTTGAATTCCTTGAGAGAGCTTTGTCTTTTACAGCAATATTGCCAGTAGTAATCAAATTATATGGCCAAAGATAAAAGGGATGAGGGGGAAAGAGACAGAATTAAAGGTGAAAGCAAAGCTGTCCTGCCCTCTGAGCAGTTTTCATGAACTACAGACTAAGCCTTTTCCTTTATAACCTGGAATATTAAAATTGATGTATTGAGACATATCAAATAGATACCTACTATATAATTCATAAAGTATGTAACACAGAGAGGTGTACAAAACACCCACTATAGCTATAGGATATAGATTATATCCAGCTCTCCTACCAAATACAAGTTTATAGAATTTTCTCTGTGTATTTAATATCTGCAGTATTTATACTTCAAATGGCAATTAACATAATCTTTAGTTTAGAACCTTTAATTTTGTGTTTTTCAACCCTACCACCTTTGGTCCCATAATTTGGTTCACTGCTGGCAATATCACCACAAAAGATAAAGTTCTCTCAATGAATTCAAAAATGAAAATTGGCAGTGTTTGATTAAGGAGTCCAGTCTGCTCTAACAAAAGGTCTTAGAACAGAAGGTGCTTTGTATATATATATCCAAGTGACACACCCAGGTACGACAAGGGAAACTCTTATCTGCAAGTCTAGAAAGACACTGCCTGTAGATGGTTCTGATCAAATAGACCAAGTAAACAAGTAGCTTTCTGCTTTTCTATGAAAAAAAATTGAGAACACAATTTTACATGACTGCAATCATGAAACCTGCCTAAATCAAACGCAACTGACAGACATTATAACATTACCTGAGCAATCACTTTTGGATAAGCAATTGTAAAGCTTTACAGAATCAAACCAATAGGCAAATGTGGATTATTTTTATATGACACTTACTTACTTATTTTATTCAGACATGTTAATATTTATTTACTGTTCATGCTTTCAAGTAAATGTCTGCTACCAAAGTAACCATGGTTGAACTTGGAACTTTTTGTATGCAAAGCAAATATAGGCATTCCTTTAAAAATCTATGAAGAATAACTTCCACTGTACTAACTTCCTAAACATTCCTGAGAGATACCAACTAATGGATAGAAAGGTCTCCAGTTCCTAGACATCTGTGAGTAAACCCTGGATGCCAGAACCTAAAAATATTGGTATTTCAGTCCATAGACGAGTCAAAGCACCTGATGCCCTTGAAATGTGGAACACATTTACCTATGTTCTTCCAGAAATTATAAAGTGAACAACTGAATCTCATCCCTTCCGTAATCATTTACTAGGTTTCTGCCTACTTCTAGATCTAGTGTTTTCTCTATTCATCCACTTTTAAATTACCATATTTTTCCACTATAAGATGCTCCAAAGTATAAGATGCACCTAGCTTTTGGGGAGGGAAACAAGGGGGAAAGAAATCTGCCTCTGCTTCCCAGCAATTTGCCTCCTTGCAGCAAATAGTAAACAGTCTGGTCAGCTTTAGCACAGCCTGATTTAGCACAAGCAGCTGGTTGTTGGTTGGAACTGCCTCCCAACGATCAGCTGTTTCAGGCTGCAGGGATTGCCTATTATTGCTTCTGCGCTTCCCATTTTCCGCCAGTTCCGATCCTCACTACCTGGAATGGGCGGAAAACGGGATGCATGGAGGCTGAAAATGGGATGTGCGGAGGTGGCAAATAGGCGATCCCTGCAGCCTTAAACAGCTGGTGGTCGGGAGAAAATTCCAACCGACAATAAGCTGTTTGTGCTAAATCAGGCTGTGCTGAAGCTGACCAGGAGGCAAGAAGGCAAATTGCTGGGAGGCAGATGCCAAAGGGTGGGGGCTAGTGGGTGGGCAGGGCTTCAGTAACATTCACTGTATAAGATGCAGAGGCATTTCCACCAATGTTGGAAATACGGTAATTCTGTCTGCAGCTGCATCATAGGTACTTGTTTCACAATGTTTTGATTTTTTTTTTTTAAATTAAACACTGGGCATTATATTTTGGCAGACCAGTAGTTTTAAAAATAAAAATAATTAAGTATTTTATTGTAGTGCTCAGAAATTTTGAAACTGCATCCTAACTTACAAATGTAGAGCCTGCAATAATATTCTATCCTAGAAATAAGTCTTTGAGGATACAAACCTAGGTAAGTAGGTGGTTTTTGGAAGCATTTTCAGGGCAGAAAACTAACCCTATCTCAGAATTCTTCAAATATTGGGACAAAAGAAAAAAAAAACAGCAACAGGACAGTCTTCTTTATATATTTTATTTCCTGGTTTCTGTGTATACACACAAGTCCAGAAAGTAGGAAATAAATAAAAATTTAAAAAATGAAATTCAGTAATATAATATCAACAGAGAAGGAGGATATGATAAAAGAAAAGTACTCCAAGGAATACTCCTCCCAAGCTCTTATTACTTACCATCCTGTCAATTCCAGGTTCCATCTTGCGGTCAATGCTAAGACTATGGGTTGAATCACTTAATACAGGGTCAGAAGGAGGCACCTCACCAAGCAGTACCAGTCCCTGCATGGGAAATGGAAAAAGATAATTGCACTTTGTCAGGCCAAATTCTCTTTCAAACTATGCCAAGAATAAATTCTACCATTACATTTCATTCATTATATTTTGTTCCTTTGTACCTGTCCTCCCTTTTCTCCTGCAAGATTCTTTCTCAGTTTTCTTTTCTACTAATTAGCAACTTTATCTTCACTGTGCTGCATGACTTAAAATTCCTGTTCTGAAAAATTAAAATTAGTGAAGACTTCTAGCATTAATCACATTTTAGAATTATAGCTGTACAATGGAGGACCAGAGAAGGGAAGGGAAAGTATAATACATTCTTAAATTGAAAATGTTAGAATACCATCTATTAGGCAAAGTATTCCCTGCCTATTATGTGCATAAAGAAATGAATTTATCAATAGCATCAACTGTAAAGTACTTTTAAAAGAGGGACGGTGCCATTTATTTTATTAAAAGCTAGGTGAGTAGCATTTTTACTACTAATAATAAAAATTTAAAATAATTCCTTTGCTTGATTCTACTGCATAGATTCCTCTCTGTAGTTTTCTTTCAAACAATACTGTACAGAAGAGGTTTGCCATAAATTCCTTCCACAATATTTTCTCTCTTCTGAATCCATAGCAGGTAAACCTTAAGGTATTCTGACAGTTTCCTATTTAACCATACATAACTGGGATCAGCCTAATGTATTTAATGCTGACACCTGCAAATGTATAATAAAGTTAAAAGCCAAAGTCAATAGGATAAGAAAAAGATAATGACAGGATATGCTTTTGGTCCCCTGGACCACACCATTTTCCCACTCCCTTTTCAAAAAAGTTGAGTCTGCAAGGGCTGAAGAGGTGGTGCCAAAAAGGACAGTGCTAAAATGCTCCAACTCCCATTTTCCCAAAAACCCGGATAACTTTGCAAAAATTCAATTGCTGCTTTCATGTTGTATGGCTTAAAATATTAAAATTATCTTTCCTTCTTTGAAACCCAGAAAAATGAGAAAATCCAGTTAATCCCAGACACACCCAATATCTAATGGGAGAAATGTAATGACCTCCACCCATAGAAAAATAGTCCATGCCTGAACAGATCTTTAGTTAATATTGAATTTTCTGAAACCACTTTTGGGTTCTCCCTCACCCCATTTAATCTAGATATACAGACATTATCAACTACTATATCACATTATGAAAACTTTTCATTAATCACTTATAGTGTATATGTATATGTATGAAGAGACAAACTATCCAATTTAACAGCAAACAAATTTTAAATTGATGTCCACTAAATATCAATACTACAAATCTGAATAAGAATCATTTTTATATCTCTCAAAATGAGAGGTAACTATTCTCTAACATAGTAAAATCAAGTTATATGTTATATGTGAGTTTCTCCTTTGTAAATCTATAATAGGTGCAAATTAAAAAGGATATACACATATGATACCTATGGTAAATTGTAGGTTTGTAGGGTGTAAGATGTTTAGATAACTTTTGTATCAAAATCAAATACTTTTGTTATCACAGAATACGAAACACAAAGCTACGGACAGTGGCTCAAAAAAAATTTTTTTGTTCAAGTTACAGACTTTTATCATTCAACTTAAGAATCACCATCATTTCTGGAGCACTTTGTAAATGTTCTAAACTTTTAGTGGTGGTCTAATGTAAGTTTAAGTTTGTAAGTTCAAAGATCAAAATAATTCAATTATTTTATTATTATTTATTAAATTTATTTATTGATAAATTTATTTATCAACTACATGGTGACTGTGGGGACCTCATAATGTCAAAAGGCAGCCTTTAAATAATCTGCATAATCTTTACCATTGTCAATGTGCCCATCCCTCAAAGTGAAAGCAACAAGGTTGTTCTTTTTGCTTAGAAGTAAACACTGCTATCTGGGCTGGCAACTCAGTTGTTAAGTGGAAAATCACGTGACCTTGACATAGGATTTTATGTTTGCTTTCTGTATTAATTCTGCTTTGTCACAAGTTGGTTGCGAAGCAAGCAAGTGATGACCGTGGGACATTGTGATGGTCATAAATGAATGCCAGTTGTGAAGTGGCCAAATGGCGATCACATGACACAAGAACATTGTATCAGTCATAAACACATTTTTTTTTAAAGTACACTATTGTTAACTTCAAACCATTGCTAAATGAGGCAATCTGTAAGCAAGTACTACCTGTAAGTAAGTACTACCTGTACTTTTATTCTTATATAAAGGACACAAACAAGCAGTAACAATGGATGTTTGTGGAGCCAGCAGTGGCTGTTTTGCCAAATTATGCGCTCTGCCAATAATGCCAACACCAGGAATCAGCCCTTTCCATTTTATGTATTAGAGGTTAAAAACATTCAGCTTATACAGTAAATCTATCTTCTAACTCATTTGCCTATTTGAAGGAATAGAGAAATGGGAAACAAACTTTTTTCTCTGTTAATATGAACAAAAATATTATTCCTGGCAAAGTTCTCATCTACATAATTAAAATCTGTCTGCATTACATCAGGCACAAAATGGCAACCAGTTCATATGATATGTATCTATAATAACTCATCATAAAGAAAGCTCAAATTGCTGTACAACCTTCGGTAAACACCAGGATGTCTATATCAGGGTCTTCAAACTTGATAGCTTCAAGACTTGTGGACTTCAACTCCCAGAATTCCTCCTCCAGTCATGTTATCTCAGGAATTCTGGGAGTTGAAGTCCACAAGTTTTAAACTTGCCAAATTTGAAGACCCTTAGTCTATTAACAATGGCATTGCACTAGTATGACAGTTATGATTTCAAAACAGAACCATTAATATCTCTAATGCCTGAGTATGTCTTTTTGCTTAGCACCAACATTTCTTTGAAAAAAAAAAACACATCCCACAATTGACAGGTTATGCTTCTGACCTATCTAGTTTAGGCAGGATGCTTTCACTTCAAACCATAAAGGGCTTTCAGTGGTTTCATTAATATTTTGATTGGATCTTGAAACCAACTGAAATCCAGTGCAGCATAGTCATTTTATTAGGTTCTGTATAAACCTAATTCTGTATAGACCTAATTATTAACTGCACTTCAGATTAATTGAAATCTCCAAAGCATCTTCAAGACAGGCAGAGATACAACACAATTTGGTAAATTCATTTTAGAAGTTAACAGACTTCAGGAAATTGATGTTTTCCAAATAGATTCATATATCAGCGATAACCCTTAGCTAACAATAAGCTTTCTTAATCACCTACCAAACATGAAATTTTACTGCCAAAAATTGATCCAGGAGCACTCCAAACTATGTATCCAACCTTGCAAGAGTGCAAGATATGCACTCTCTTATCTAGACTACACAAAAACGATACAAATAAAGTCTGAAGAAGCAAATTTCACTAAAAATACCTGTCCAGGCCATTTATTACAAAAACGTTTAACTAAGACTTCAAAAAGTCTTTCATCCCTACTTTTTCTATGTTGGAATTAGTCTATGCTTAATTTGGGACTATTCACATTGGACTAACAAAAAAAAGTTCCCCAAAGCAAAAACTTCCTGCTTTTGTTCCATTCTAAGTTCCAGTTCTTTTACCAATCTAATAAAACAATGTACACTGGAACAGATTCATCAACAGCCTGCAAGCCATCAGCATTTGTGGAATTCAATGTCACTGCCACACTTTAATATACACGGAGCATGTAAAAAAGATCTGAGGTGGACGGAGTGGTTAGAATGCAGTACTATAGGTTACTTCTGCTGACTGCCAGCTGCTAGAAGTTTGGCAGTTCAAATCTCATTGGCTCAAGGTTAACTCAGCCTTCCATCCTTCCAAGGTTGGTAAAATGAGGACCCAGATTCTTGGGGGCAAGAGGCTGACTCTGTAAACCGCTTAGACAAAGTTGTAAAGTACCGTGAAGCAGTATATAAGTCTAAGTGCTAGTGCTAGCATGCGTATTAAAGCCACTTTCATCCCATTTGAAGGGAAAGTGTTACTTCTCTGTCAGGATTATATAGTTAGCAGCCAACATGTTTGCCACATTTTGGGGGGTGGGGGGTAGGAAATATACTGACTCTGTAAACTGCTTAGAAAAGGCTGCAAAGCATTATTAAGCGGTAAGTCTAAGTGCTACATTCCTAGATAAATTCCAGCAAAAGATACAATTTCCATCAGCGAGGGTAATCTACAATCAGAATTTGAGTTTTGCTTTTTCTGAATGTCTGTTAGTACACAATTGTATCCTGAAAGATGTATATTTTGAAAATAAACCTGGCTAAATAAAATGCATGTGATATACATTTCATATTGATAAAAAATCAACAAAATTATAATTCATTGTAAAATTAGGACATTGCTTAACACATGCAAACCAGAAATGGACTGATTTATTCAGGCCCAATTCAATCCTACTTAATGCAACTGCATGTGTCAGCTTCCGTTGGAGTACGATGAAACTTTAGCAATAAACCACTTTACTCACAGTTCTGTTGTGGCAAGATGTGTTTATTATGATGTTTCCTCCAACAACAACAACAAACGGCAATTCCAAGCAAAGCCAGTGCTGGGAGCGTCTGCCTTGTAGCGCTTTTTATAATCCCTTTCCACTAATTACTTAACATCCGCCCCTAGTAAACACCTAACATCCGCTCCTAGAAACCCTGCGTGTCCCCACCCTGCAATAATATTAACCCTCTCCACGTGCAAGTCCCCAACCAACACCTCCCCTGTCATCATCCCATGTCGTAGTTTGTGCCGCCAGTCCCAGTTCAGCAAAACCAAAAGCCCCTAGGTATATGTTGAGATGCCAGCCCGAAACGCCTCCTGGCTGGTCACATCATAAAGAGGGAGAAGCATTGTGCTCGGGAAAGTGCACACCGGCAAACAGCTGGCTAGTTTGTCCGAAATGCCTCCCGGCTGATCGCACCAACATGGCATTGCACTGGGAGCGTCGTAACCGGGGAAACACACACACACCCCGCCAAACAGCTGACTAGATTATTTGAAATGCCTCTTAGCTGATCA